GTCTCGAACTCTTGACCTGAAGTGATCCATCCGCCTTGGCCTCCCAAAGTGCTGGAATTACAGGTGGGAGCCACTGCGCCCGGCCCATTAATATAATTAAAAAAAATATGGAACGCTTTATGAATTTGCGTGTCATCCTTGCGCAGGGGCCATGCCAATCTTCTCTGAATTGTTCCAATTTTAGCATATGTGCTGCCAAAATGAGCACTCATTAATATAATTTCCTAAAAAAACATGAGTGACAATGGCCCGTGACAAAGCCCTCAGGAGGTCTTGAGAACATGTGCCTAGATCTCCTTTTCTGAGAGGTTTGCTCTGACTCCTGACTGACTCTCCTGCAGGAGACTGGCTCATTCTTCTGCTCCTGGAAAAATAACTGAGGCCTTCCTGGCTCAGGATGCAGATCCAAACCAGGGCCAAGGTCAGGTGCCAGGTGAGGCCAGCAGGAAGTGCTGGGTCTTCTCTCTAGGGTCACTGCACAGCCACCACTCGCTTCCATCCCATTCCATCTTCCATATGTGCAACAACTTGGTTCCATTCATCCGTGTCCAGATTGGCAGGCTGGGAGTGCGGGCTGGGAGGTGGCCTCCAGTAGGGAAGGGAAGAAGAAGGATTTGTCTCTCAGTAGAAATAGCCATCATTTCCTGACACTTCCTCTGTGCCACAGACTTGAAGATCATTTTTAACATTTAGTATGTATTAGTAATATGTCGATGGAGTGAAAAAAGGGGTAATTAGTAAAAATTCCCCTGGCCTTTTCCTGAGATGTATGGTGCATTTAGAAACACACATACAAATATATTCTTTTTTTTTTTTTTTCACCATGTTGGTCAGGCTGGTCTTGAACTCCAGGCCTCAGGTGATCCGCCCACCTTGGCCTCCAAAGTGCTTGGATTACAGGCGTGAGCCACCTTGCCCAGCCAATACATATATATTCTTATGTTTGTTGTCTGTTTGTTTGTTTTTAGATGGAGTCTTGCTCTTGTCACTCAGGCTGGAGTGCAGTGGCGCAATTTCAGCTCACTGCAACCTCCGCCTCCTGGGTTCAAGTGGATTACAGGTGCCCACCACCATGCCTGGCTAACTTTTGTATTTTTAAGGTATAGATAGGGTTTCACCATGTTGGCCAGGCTGGTCTCGAACTCGTGACCTCAGGTGATCCACCCGCCTCAGCCTCCCAAAGTGCTTGGATTACAGGCGTGAGCCACTGCACCTGACCAGCATGGAGCCTTGCTCTGTTGTCAGGCTGGAGTGCAGTGGCACGATCTCAGCTCATTGTAACCTCTGCCTCCTGGGTTTAAGCAATTCTCCTGCCTCAGCCTCCCTAATGGCTGGGACTACAGGCTCGTACTACCACACCTGACTAATTTATTTTTATTTTTAGTAGAGACAGGGTTTCACCATGTTGGCCAGGATGGTCTTGATCTCTTGACCTCGTGATCCTCCCGCCTTGGCCTCCCAAAGTGCTGGGATTGCAGGCGTGAGCCACCATG